TTTTTTTTTTTTTTTTCCTTTTCACCTGTCCTCATCAACAGTCCATTGACCCTTAGCCGACCTGAACTTCTGTCCTCTAATGCACGTTTTAGCAGACGGCAATTCTGTAACCTTGCTCTTCCTGCACTGGATAACATTCTTGTTGCTTCTTTTACTGCCACCTTGTTTGGGGAAACCAAGGTTATCGGCAGTCAAACAAGAGCTCTCGTCAGGAACAACAAAGTTGAAAGGCTTAGTGTCATGGTACGTCAATGCTGTTTCGATGTCCATTAATGAATCTTTCTTGTCTGAAAAGTTAAAACACCCACCAACTTCCAAATCTTGCATGGATGAACGAATGCTATCATGTTCGCATAAATCAAAATCCACAAAAGAGCCACTAGGAAAGGGATCAACAGGATAAAAACAATCCTCATGAATCCCAAAATCTTGATTAACATATGAAGCTACCAAGGGGTACTGGTCAAGGTTATGGTAATCGTGAAGGAAATCTGTTGGTGTCGAAAGATTATCGATGTGGAAGTCGTCATCCAGTATCTCTGATTTCAAGCTAATGTTGGGAAAGCAAATGGCCGGGGCAGGGTCATTATCGTCATTTGCATATTTTGTTCTAGACTCCATTGGGCGGAGTTGAGGGAACACAAAAGAAAAAAAGGTGGCAAGATGACAGGAGCTTTCAGCGGTGAAAATCTTTGTTGGAGTTTCTTTTCAGTTTTGAGTTTGCAATTTATTAAGCAAGTAATAAAGGCATTCAATGTGTTGAAAATTGCTTGTGGACCATTGATTCGAGAATTAATCTAACGGCTCTCGAGATCCTTGATGTGCTTGTCCAGGTACCAATACTAAAGAAAAATAGCTATGAAGTACTATATGACCAATATACCAGTTGTATGTAATACAACAGAAAAATATTATATAAGTTTGTCCATTAATTTCTATATTGTTAATCCAATGGAATCATAGACATGCTGATAAGTAAGAATTAAATTTTGTAACAGTTACACTAAATATATATTTTTGGTCATCTCACTGAGGTGCATTAATTGCAGACTTACAATTGCTATTCAAGTGCATATTAATGGCAAAAATTGAAGTAGATGTCGAATTAAGTCACTAAAGATTTGTTGATTCTACCATCTGTTGTTATCTTTTAATACAGCATGACAAAGATTGGTCAGAACATGTTCGTCATTGAGAAACAAATATAACAACTAGAAATATTTTGCAAAGCGACTACAAATCTCAAGGGGAAGTTGTACAGTAACCTTAAATTCCAATAGACCACTAGAAAGCAAAGACAAACACCAACCAAATTAAATAATTCATGCCCAAAAAGCACATTTTTAGGTAGGATCTCAATAACAACAAAAACTGAACACATTCGCAACACATCCCAAAGTTTTAAAGACACATAAACTTTCACCAGAAGCCCGCCACATGTCATGATGTGCCACGGCCACATGTCATGGAACTCTTGGTTTGCTGTCCCAAGCCTCTCTCACCTCCAGCAGATGCGGGCAGTACCTCTGCGCCAAGACTTCTACCTGCTCGGCAAACGGCTTATGCCCATTCCGCCCCAAATGCAAAGCCATCTGATTCCAACGCTTTCGGCACACATTCCCATCCCTGCCCTCAACAACACCATCCCAGTCCACATCCTCCACGCAGGTCGCGTCCAGGCTATAAAGCCCGCCAATTAGGCGGTAGTCGTCTGAGTCGGCCCACACGCCCTGGGCCACCATGGACGAGGTCAGTTGTCTGTACCACTTTTCACAGCAAATGACCTCAGGACGGGTTGACAGCTCACCACTAATTGCCGTCCAGCCGATATTGTCACGCAGCATCCCATACTTGGACTTCTTCTCTTCCCGAAGCTTCGCCTGCAGGTCAATGTTCACGAGGTCAAACAGTTTCTGGTACTCGTCCTGAGACCAGTGCCCTTTCTTGCGGTTGACCAGTTTTATCCTCCGCCAGGTGTTACACACATGTACCCTGTGCTTGCCGAGCTTGTCCGCCAGCTTCCTCCATTGCCTGCCGTGCTCCTCGCAGAACTTGAGGACCTCCTCGTACTCTTCCTCAGTCCATTTGCGATTCTCAGACCTGCGGAATATAACATGGGTACGCAAGTAGACGGAAGTAGTGGGTCTGTATGGTATGGAAGACCCGATTTCTTTCCAACAGCCCCTCACCAGGGGGTGCTTTCGACAATTGAGGACCATGTCCAGGCCTTCATCACCTAAGTCGTGACTCAGTATATAGTCGTTAACAGCAGCTTTGATGATCTCGTCCTCTTCAGGCGTGTACCGCTTACCTCTAACTAGATTATCTCCCTCCACAGTCCCTTTCGCTGGATTCGAATTGACTGGAGAGGGGAAAACCTCAAAGTGATTAGAAAACCTCACTTTTTTCTTACTTTTTCTGGGTGTAGCATCGCTTGACTCATTCTCCACTGGTTTGGTCATTTTCATTTTTCCTTTTTTCTCATGTGCAGCACCATTATCTCTTAACTCCTCAAAACCCTCGTCCATTACTTCAGTATGTTTCTTCATCTTCTTCTTCTTCTTCTTCTTCTTCTTCTTCTTCTTCTTCTTTTTTTTGGTTGCGTGTTCTACCTCATTACTTTGCATCTCATCCGTATGCATATGACAATTGCTGTCAGTTTCTGCATTATCTTGCTGAGCGGCAGTTGAATAGTCCTTCAAATGTTCTTTCTTTTTCTTCTTTCTTTCCTTCTTTCTCTTAAGTTCTTCTGCAGCATATACATTATGTTCATTTGATTCAAATTTGCCTTCAACATTATCTGGCACGCATTCGTGCTGCTCAGAAGGAAAATCGTCTTCGTCATTCATAGCTTCACCAGAAGTGCCACGTGACCAATTGTCATCTTTGATGTTCTCTTTTTCCTTTTTCCTTTTCTTCCTTTCGACCTTTCCTGTATCATCAGCTTTCAAATTCTGACTATGTTGCCCAGACTCGTTTATATGTATCTCTCCCTCCCTCTCAAGATCTACTTCATCGTGTTTTCTTTTTGATTTCTTCTTCTTCTTCCTCTCCTTGTTATTATCTTCAGTACTTTTCTGTTCGGCATTACTTTCTCCATCTAGCTTTTGCTCAACCTCACTCTGCTGAACTTCTTTAGCATTGTTCATCTCGGTCCTATTCAACTCCCGGTTTTTATTCTTGCTTTTCTTCCTTCTCTTTTCAAGATTCATCGCATCTCCACTGCCATTCTCACCATGGTCTACATGCAGTTGCTTTTTTTCCAAATCTTCATTGATGTAAGCATCAGCAACTTCAGCCCCCTCATTTTTCTTCTTCTTCGATACCTTTTTCTGATTCCTATGCTCTCCAAACTTATCTTCTTTATCAGATAATGAAACCCGAACTTGCTCGATTGGTTTTACAGCACTAGAATTCTGAGTATCTTGTGTTCCCATGAGTCTTTATTTGTTCTTATCAGGATTCTTTTTCTTTGCTTAATTCACCTTTCTATATCTCTGGGCACACATCTCTTAAACTCATTTCTTCAGCTATAGAGAAAAAACCAAAAAAAAAAAAAAAAAAAATTCAGAAAAATTAATAGCTGAGGGCCATTTCAACCAAACAAAGAAAGAAACAGCTGCATTGACATGATAAAATTAGAGCCCGAAACCTTCACACAAGCTAGGTTTCATACCAAAATAGAGCTAAAAACAAGAAGAAAGTGATAAAACCTACTATTAAATAGAAACAAAATCACACATCACAACAATCAAAAGCCCAAACAAATAAAAGAACTCTACAAATCATGTACATATAGCCACAGATACACATAACGCAGGTGCAAGGACATCAAATTCGTAGCTGAAAACTATTAGTAAGAGCAAATCCTGACAAAACAAATATCACAGGGAATTTCGGATTAATTCATTAGGATAAGTGGTGTTTGAAGTAAGAACCTACCTATTTGGAGTCCAATCGCGCCGTCAAGTTCGTCACCGGCGGCGTCTGCCGTTCGGAGATGGACCGTCGACTGAGGGATGATATTTTCTGCTCTTCACTATTCTGTCGCTCCTCAAATAACTCAATTGGGCCTTTCGTCGCACTCTTATTTATGGCCCTTTATTTCCTTGGGCCATTTGTATGTAAATAATAGAGAAAATTACTCAAAACACAATCAATTAGACTTTTTATTACACAATAAATATCAATCTATAAATAATAGCAATATTAAACAAATTTTACCTTTTTATTTGCAAATATGCCACAAAAGTTATTATACAGATTTTTTGAACAAATCACAAAATCATTACCAAAATTCAAGGAAATAAATAGCTCCCTAAAGTTGCCGCTATTTGAGAAATAGCTTTTTTTGGCAGCGTGCCGCTATTTGTATTCATGTGCAATTTAGCCGCTAAATCCCGCTAAATCTCCGCTATAGCTCCGCTATAGCTACAGTGTCATAAACGTTTTAGCCCGCTATTTAAAACCTTGCCAAAATTTATGAGAAGATAATAAGTTTAAAGAAAAGCCACCCCGATAAAAAAAGTAATGAGCTTTAAACTACATTCTCTCTCCCACTACTATACCGTCGTCTTCATCAACCTGTAAATCAAACCATATATCCTCTCAACCTCAACAACAATGGCAAAGACCAAATTTGGAAGAAGCCCATCCATCGGAGACGGGAATTCTCCACATCGGAGGTCGAGTTCCCGTCTAAGGGATATCAAATCAAACAAGCACCCAACCCTTGTACAAAAGAAACTGCAGTTCGACAAGAAAGTGGCGAGATCGGAAAAAAATATGAAGTCACCAGATTCTGATTTTGAGGATGAAATTCAAGCCGAAGTGAGTAACAATGAAGAATGTTCGGCTCGTCGTAGATCTGAGCCGCGTTCGGGCTGAGAACAATGGAGGTTTTGAAAATTCGAAATGGTTCCACTGGGGAGGGGAGGTGATCGAGCTCTGAAATCGATTAGAGAAACGATTAAAAATCGAGTGTATATGTATATTTTATGTAAATTTTATGTATATGTGTGTGTCTCGATCTATCATTGACTTGAATTACGAGAATCTCAATTGTACATTTTATGTGTATTTCGATTCTGAAATCGATTTGAGAAATGATCGAAACTCGAGTGTATATTTCATGTATATGTGTGTCCCGATCTGGTGATGATTTGAATTACGAGACTCTCGAGTGTATATTTCATGTATATTTTATGTATATGTGTGTTGTACAAGGAAAAAAAACTGAAATAATCAGAACATATACGTGTTATATACGGCAGAACATGATTTCATTTTAAATATAAACAAAAAATATATCGACAATATCAAATAAATCGATCGAGATGACCAAAAAAAATTACATGCTTCGTGAAAATTATTTTTCAAGATTATGAGATTTTTATTGAGTTATACGCTGCTGAAGTCGCTTGAAATTCAAAAGCATTATCTTTCCTATTTCCACTGAACCACCTTCCTTATTATCAGGATTTATTTACTTTTTGGTTTTTATCTCTTTTATTTTGACGTGAAAAGTGGTCCCATAATCAATGATAGATTACAACTTTTTTGATTTGGTAACTGCATCTTGGCATATTTGCAATTATTTCAACCCGATTTTATAGGAATGCAATACAATAACACCCCATGGTATTTTTACAAATACTTTACTTTCGTTAAGTATATATAAAATTTCCCCGCCTAAAGAGGAATTTGCGCGGTATGTGTAGTTTCAGTTTTTATTGCATAAATATAATAAAATGGTAAAAATTAGCATGTTAACATAATTTAATGATTTTATTTGCAAAAATACCACATATAGTTAAATCTGATGCAATCAAGATAGTGCATAATTAATGGAAAAAAACTTATCACATTCCAAATAACTACTTAATTGGTAAGATTTGTTCTCTCACACATCGGTAACCCCACATTCAACACACTTCTTCCTCATTTATCACCCACAACGTTGTAACTGAAATATCTCCCTCACCTCTCTTCCAAAATGTCCCGTACACTCGCTTTCGCACATGGCAAGAACTAAGTTCGGAAGAAGTCCGATCTTCAGCTCTGAATTACCCCCTATCTCTTCTTGTC